AAGGGCTCCAACGCTCGATGTTATGGAATACGGGCTAGCCAAGGCCAAGAGCCCAGTAACGAACTAACTGCTCGGACGCTACTTATACCACATATAAACATGTTAGGGTTAACAACACGTCTCTTTTTCATCGCAAGCTCTAGCAAGCCACTTGAACATGCACATGTCGTCTACTTACAACATTTATACAATAGACAAATGTATGTTTATGCCCTCGTGCATTTAACTCTCCTCTCTAGTTCTCCCATATAGGTTTTTCCTACTCAAGATATTAGGCTTGGCCGTCACCGTCCACCTCGCCGAACAGATAGACATCGCCGACCAGCTTCTTCGTCGCGTCCTCCACCTCATCTTTCAGCTGCTCCTGCTTCATCGCACCCGTCCCTCTAGCGAATCTGGCCCCTATCGGTCGAAGATTGATGGTAGTGTAATGAGACCGGACTACCGCTAGGGCATGCATCACAACGGAGATAGCGGTGTCTCGGTTGAAGCCTTTGAAGTTCTCCCACGCTGCCTTGCACTTGTCAATGATGGCGTCCGGACGTGGCGGCCTATTGTCGGGCTGAGGAGCTACCTCCATGTCGATACAGTCGAGCACCGGCCAGACTCCAGCCACCACGGCATCAAGTTTTCCCCTCCTAGTTCTTGCCTCCAGCTCCAGCACGTTGAACTGCGCCTTGGTCCTTCGACGGTATTCTGCAGACACCAAAGGGATTCGTCAGACGAAGAAATCATTTTAGTAACAACTCCAGCCACGGGTCACTCACCTTCAATATCCTTGGCCAGTTTCTCTGCTCGCCTAGACGTCTTCTCCTTCTCCTCTTGGAGTTGACCAATGACTTCTCGCAACTGGCCGAGCTCCGCATCTTGTTCTACAAACATAACAGTCGACAACAACATCAAGACAGTTTGGCAATGCAGAGCAAATTCATTGATCTGCAGTACCTTTCTTCTGCTCGGAGATGCCTTTTAGCTGCTTAGAGGTGCGCCCCAGCTGCTCAGAGATGCTGTTCAACTGCTTAGAGGTGTGCTCCAGCTGCTCGGTGATAGTCTTCCACTGCTCGGACAAGATGCCCTTTTGATACTCTAGGTCCTTTGCATTTGATTTAGCAAGATCCCTTTCACACTGGGCCCTCTGGACGTTCTTCTCCATCAGCTTCACCGCCTCCTTCAGCTTCTCATTCTCCTCGGCGAGGGGCTCCATCCTTTCGATCAACTGTTGCCGTTGCATGGCAGTTCGTGCTATGCCCTGCAAAGCACCAAGATTATAAAGGACCATATTCTCCAATGCCCAAGAGAACACCACTGACGCAACACTAACCTCAATTTTCTTCATAGCTGTGGAAAGGGTGGACCGTAGCCTCTTCACCTCCCTGGTGGTATCCTTCTCTTCCACGACCACAACTTCATCACCTCGCTTGCGGAAGATACGGACGGTTTGAGATCGTGATCCTTCACGCTCAATCTCCTCAACCTCGTCCTCTTCCTCCACAGCGGGTGGCACTCCCTGGGGGCTCGGTGGCCACAAGAGGGATCGACCACGCCCCATGGAATCTCCGGGCGTGCCGCTTGCTCCTCCGACGCTGCCGGCCTCTACGCCCCAAACTCCGGCACGATGTCGGCCGCTCCAGCTTCCGCCTCCGAAGATTCGGTGGCTCTCGTCGTTGCTCCCGACGTCTCCGTTTAATCGCCCGCCATCGTCGCCAACCACTCTCCACCTCCAACTCCATCAGCAGCGGTGGCCGGATCCTCCGCAAACTGACTAGCGCCTGGGGACTCTGGGATGGAGTCCATCCGCAATGTCTCCACCCCGGGACCAGCCGCTGGCTACTCGCCAGTCTGGCCTGAAGGATTCAGATCCTCCGCGTGCCCCGCTCTGCATCAGATTAGCTCATTGGTCACCACAACTATAAAAATTAGATAGCTACTGATCCCAAGGCACATGTCAGCTTCTCGATAAATGGTTCCAAACTGGTGCTGCCTCCCCGAGCACCCAGGCACTGCTCTGCGGTCAACCCACGTGTCCTGGGCTAGAGGTCTTGCGGCCCCCGCCATCGGCATCTCCTCTGCCTGCTGCTCGGGGACTCCTTCCCCTCCCTTCGATTTCACCTCTACGTGTGTGTTGCGCAATGACGCTTTAGTGCTCGGAGGGGGAGCTACTAGACCCTCGTCGTCGTCCGACCACTTGGATACCGCCTTACTCTACGTCTGAGTAGTTTGACTGCCACCAAGTGAAATACCGCCCGGATTGCGGGGAGCTACATTTGAGGTTCTTCTCTTCTGTCGGGCCGGCTCATCTTTTGCCGCCCTTTTCCCCTGAACTTTCTCCGATACCGGGGGGGGGGACTCTCCTTCCGACCAGCACCTTCATCTCTAGATTCGGACAAGGCGCTGACGGCATCTTCCTCCGGCTGAGTGGTCAGCATGGCGTCCACTGCCTTCGGCCAATCGTTCCTTGGCACGCCTAAGAAGTACGCCACCCGTTCCTGCAAATGGATCTTTCCACAAGCGAATCAGTCCACTTCTCGGCACCGGCATGGGAGAAAAAGCACCAGGAACAACAGTCGAGATTTTTACCTGAGGAGGTGGGTTCGTGCAGTTGAAGGTTTTCGACTGCCCTAGCACGCTATATGGCACATTTGGAGCAAATAGTTCAGCGGCCCGGTGTAGCACAGCCTCCATCGTCAGTCTCTCCATCCTCTCCCGAGTGTCGTCAGTATCTCCCTTGTAGTCAAAGCCCGGATGAGCCCTCTCCTTGCAGGGCTGGACGTGGCGCATTATGAAGATCACCACCACCACTACTCTGTTCATCTTCATGCCCCCAATACTCCAACAGATCCCGCAAGAAAGGATGCACCGAAAGCCGTAATCCACGCCAGAAGTAATCTTCGAAAACAACGAGTTCGTCGGTGTGTGGCATCGGATAGGGCTCACCGTCGGCCGGACGCCATCCGGCGGTGACACGATCAGGAAGAACCCCCGCCTCCACCATCTCGTTGAGCTTTGTCTCCCCATCTCCCCCATGAGCGATGGTACCCACTCTGTGTCGTGGCTCATCCCGGTGGGCGCCTTCTTCATGCTTGCACCCCCCTCTTCGGCGCCATCTCTCAGATTTGGATCGGAACTGCCCCTTCGCGTAGGTTTTTTAGCCCTGGCGGTGGAGTGCATGAGAATGTGAATGGGGGAGAGCGAGGTTAAGGTGGAAGATGAGGTGACGGAGTGGCAAAGGTGGAAGCGCGGAGTGCGGCGACGCAGTTATAAGGATACGCTCCCGACTTTTCGCATTCAAGGGTTTTTTGGAAACCGCATTGTGCTGATCTGTGCCCTTCTAAATTCCCCGAAGCAGCGTGTTGGGCCGTTATTTGGGCTTCCGCGCAACTACTGTCCACATCGCCCATTTTTCGACGCAACTTGGTGCTGCACACCGAATATTCGCCGACTTCTCCGCAATGTCAAGGCTCAGTAATTTCTACTATACAGCCATTACTCCAGTTTTTTCTCCATGATTGCGTAATCAGTCCTTCTTGATTTATCCGAGATTTCCACTTATGGCTCGGGGACTACGTCATCATTATGATTTGGTCTCTCACCATACTAGGGACTTTTTTGGTTACTGTTGTTTCTGACCCTGGCACCACGTGACCACGTCACCTACTGCCAGGCTCGGGGACTAAGTGGGCACACTTCACCTTGCGGTGAACATGTGCCTAGTATTGCAAAGCTTTGCTCAAGAGCTGGTTGCCCGCTTGTCCAGTCTTTCGGGCTCTCAAAATTTGACCCTGGCACCACGTGACTACATCACCTACTACCAGGCTCGGGGACTACAGTGTATACACTACACCTTGTGGTGCGTGTATTGATCTTCGTGTCTGATGAACATCTCCATGTCTCCAAGCACCCAGATGGCCCCCATCCACTCCTCGTCGAACGAAGTCTAAGTGGGCACACTTAGTTCAAAGCGAAGAATTTTCAAAATTTGAACTTGATGTCCTTACATCCTTCTGGCAAGCCATGCTTGGTTGAGTCCGAGCACTGCCGGTCGGCTATACTAGTTGGCCACGTTTACTGTTGCTCGGATCATCAATAACGCTTGTCGGAGCTCGGTCCTTGTTGCTCGGCGTCAGATTCACCTGCTCGGACAAGCTCAAGACGGCGTTACCAGCGGATACAAGGCGCTCGGGGACTAGTTGTGGGGGGTACGACCCCGGATACCCACGGTAGACTACATGGGCTGCGCCACCAGGGGCGGTCCAGCCCACAAGATGAAGCCTTACGGAGCACGACGCTGCTAGACGCGCCCCGCAAGACACCAGGAAGATATCCTGAAGATACGGCGTAATCTATTAGGATATGTTACGATCCCGTGATTCATGTAATCTGTTATTACTTACCAGTTATTTTTCAGATCTAACCGACATGTAACCCTACCCCCGGCTATATAAGGCGGGTAGGAGACCCCCTCAAAACACACACAATATCATATGATAGCCAATACAAACCAACAAACCATAGGAGTAGGGTATTACGTCGCGCTGACGGCCCAAACCTATCAAACTCTTGTGTCTCTGTTGCCTTCTTGTTCTGGATTATACGTATCTCTGTCGATCAATCTACCTTCGTGGGATACCCCTCGGTGGACTGCCGAGCATCTTTTGTCGACACCCTCCCCTCCCCATGTCCTTTCCCTCGCTGTAGCACCCACATCCGCAGCCTATAAAATAGCAGGGTGGTGATACCAGCTATTTGCGCGGGCTAACTTGCTAGCTGTATTATTTAGCAGGCAAGAGGGAGGGGGAGTTTATTCACCTCCAAAACATGGGAAGGATATTTCCACATATCGTAGCTATTGGCTGGACCCATGCATCATATTCCAATAAATGAAGGAGAAAGATTACTTGAAACATAAGAACACTAGAAGCGGGGGCACACCTATTCACAGAACTGAACACTTTTGACATTATTATTATGACATGAGAGTGAACAAGTTATGCAGGCCACCTCTAAGCCTGGATACGACCACAGCACAACAACTGAACGAGCTGAAACTGAGACTCAACAAGGTGCATAATTAAGAAGCAGCTAGGCCCTAACAAAAGCTGCTGAACATAAATGAGAGCACAAGCATAATAATTATTTGCAAGGAACGCTGGAACATATATATTCGGTCCCAAATTATAAGACGACGTTTTGATATTTTTAGATTCATAACATTACTATGTACTTAGACATAATATATATATCTAGGTGCATAGCAAAAATTACGAGTCTAGAAAAGCCAAAGTGTTTTATTTAATTTGGCACGACCGCAGCAGCCTCTTCCAACTGCCGCTTTACGCCCTTGAGGTGGGTACTCAGCTTTTCAATTGTTTCTTCCATCTGTGCATGCAGTACGACATCATGACATAACAAATCAGAAAATTAAATTCATCTCGTGCTCAAAATATTCGAAGTACATGAGTAAGCGAAACAATAATGCATGCATCATCAATGATATTAAAAAGGCTTGACGGGTTGCCACACATGTACTACACGATCGAAACTAGAATGGTCTATCACCGTCGGTATGGCCGGAGACCCGACACAGTGACAAAGAATGAGTGCCAGTCTGCTAGTATACATATGGTCCCGTTTGGTAGAACTTCCACCGGCTCAAGCTTTTCTGACACATGTATTATTTTCACACTGTTCACAAGAACTTTTTTTTTTGTCTCTCTTCTCTCCTCTCAACAGAACCGGTGGAGCTAGTTTTTTTACTCCTGGATCAACCAGCTCCGTGAGAGGAGGGAGGAGAGAGAGCAAAGGAGCTATTCTATAGAGCCGTGGGAGCTCTACCGAACGGAACCTATATGTCCTCTCTCTCACTCTCATATGATTACATGTGTGTGTGGAGACCACATGCACAAAGAGGTCTGATCCACTCATCCATATGTCGCGGTGCGACTAAGCTCTTATCCATTGCAATGTTTGGCTAGCGAGCTTTTCAACGGGTTTCTTCGACCACGCATGTTCAGATCCAAGATAAATCGGGACCGTGCGATGTCACAATGGGTTTCATCAATGGTGTGTTTTTGGAATGATTTTAATGGGAGCACCACGAAGAAAACACTTGGGAGCACGAGAAAAGGAGAATGCTTCAACAAATCGAAGCTAGCTATGCGTGGTGGTAGTAAATCTAGAATGAGAGTGAATGGAGGCAAATAGGCCGGAGTATTTACTTGATTGATTTGCGTGTGTACTGTGATCATTCTTCATACACACGGATGTCGGAATTAATTAGCTAGAATAGGATATAGCTGCTACGCCACAGTACAAGCATGCATCCAAGATCAGAGTACAATCACGTACTTCCTCCATCCCAAATTATAAGTTATTCCAAAAATCTTGGAAAGTCAAACCATCTTAAGTTTGACCAAATTTATATGATAAGATAATAACATTTATGATATCAACTAAGTATCATTAAATTCTTCATTAATTATATTTTCATAGTATACTTATTTAATGGTCATAAATTTTTGTAATTATCTCTATAATTTTGGTCAAACTAGAGATGCTTTGACTCTCCAAGATTCTTGAAATGGCTTATAATTTGGAATGGAGGGAGTAAGTCAATATGCATGCTGGACCATCCAGCAGTATAGTAGCACACACAGCAGTACAGAGCACTAGCTCACTGTCATATCATGTAGGAGATAGCATATATAAGATAAACTCTCCAACAATTTAGGAGCTATAGATTTTTTTTCCTGAATCTGTATGTTTCTTTCGCTTATTGAATCCCTAGTGTTCAGCTTTTTTTTATAAGACCTAATGTTCAGATTTGGTAAAATAATTGTTTTCAATCAAAGAATGGAGATCATACCTAATGTGTGTTTCCGGTTACATGGACTCGTCAATCCGAATTGCACTGATCAGGATGTTTTTTTTTTTGGGGGGAGGGATTGATCAGGATATGTTATTATGCAGGAACGGATGGTCAATTTAAGTGAGGAGGCTGTATAGTGAAGTCAGATAGATGCTCCAAGTAGAATTGTTGAATCCAAGATGGCCGAGTTTGAATGACGACAGTTCACTTTGTAGTATTTGTTTCCCAAACTGAAATTTAGCATCACATTAAGAACATCTTCAAGAACCTTTCTAAATCTCACTCTCTAAATCATCATTTGGAGAGTTATTTGCATAAAAATCTCTTTCTATATATTTTCACTCTCCAACAGTTTTTCTATATATCGTGCGTATTCTAGAGATTCAATTCATTCTCGTCTTCTATTTTGGGCTAGCGAAAAATCCGGAATAGAATATGTCTATATTTAGATAACCATTCAGAGAAGCTGTTGAAGGTCAGTTTTTCACAAAATCTCTATTCCTAGCATTTAGTTAAGATATAGAGAGTCTTTTGAAAATGTTCTAAGGATGGGGATGGTGCTCCAATAATGGGTATCCGTGGTTCTCCTCTAGCTCAACTCATGTAAGAACTAATTTTTTTTAAGAGAACGCGCTTAGGCGTGTATTTCATTAAGGGGAGTAAGAGTTGAGTACAACCACGACGGGCAAGATGGCGAGCACCCCAGGTACAAACAGGAAAGAAAAAGAGGCGGCGCTATGGACTTATTACAGGGCCCGAATTTGGGACTGAAGTAGGAAGCCGAGCCTAGGCGAGCAGAATCGCCAGGGAGCTGAACCCGGCAGCCAGCCACTCATCCGCCTCCTGGGCGATGAGCTGGAGGAGTCCAGGAGGCAGGACACAAACGGCATCGAAGGTCCTCCTGTTTCGTTCTAATTAGACAATTCCTCTTCTCATTTTTGTATATATAGTTCATTAAGTAGAACTAGAGGAGAACTGCGGATCGCTCCACCCCCATCCTCAAATCACATGTCTTCCGTCCGGTTGAAATTTAGCCTTAGGTCACTAGTGCCGGAGGCTGGACCCATCCTCACATTGAGATCACTAGCGTCAAACCGCCACGAATGCGATAAGGTAGACAACAAAGGAAGCGACAAAGTTGGCAGAACCACCGTCACCGCCGCTGGGCTGCACGGGAGGCTGCCCAATTAAGGCTTCGTTCGGTTACCTGAGAATAATTCCCAGCCACACGGTTCCTTCATTAATTTAAATAGCGTGGGAATGATTCCTAGCCATTTCAGGCCAGAAACGGGCTAACCGAAGCCCCTAACGGAGGTCGGCGTGGTTGCGGCAGAAGAGGGGATCAGGGAACCTCAGTAGCTAGGGAGGGTGATGGGCAGCGAGAGTTAGCAGCCATGTTCTGAGTGACGGCATGACCACCGGCTGCTGGCGCCCCCAAAGATGAAGCCAAACAACCACCATGTGAACCTCGATCTAGGCTGCATTTGATGATGGGTCTTAAGTACGAAACTATTGTTGCACCCATCTAATTTAGTTTAAAACGGATTAGGGGCCCATTAATTTTAAGTCGTGCCCACACATCTTTAGTTCCTCCTAAATGATTCCTCCTAATTTTTATTAACCATTAGATCTTGCCAAACGAAGGGTTCTCATTATTTTCGAGTACTCTAAAATTTTTCTAAAAACAAAATGACGGATTGACGGTTTTGTGTCAGCTGTCATGCAATACCTGCTTTTTGTCGGGGAGCTTTGCTGGAGGCTCGGTAAAGAAATTAAGGGAGACTGCATCGTCCTTCAAAGCATCAGGGTATTCTTTGCCATTAACCAGCTGCACAATGTGTCGACGTTTGTCCTAAGCCCACAACAAAGACAGCTGCTTGTTACTAACATACACAGGAGCGTTAGATAATTAGAATTGATAAAATGCAACTCGACAGCACTACTACTTGTTTCTATGCTCCAATAATTTTGTCCAGAAAATTAAGCGAACCATAAATTTGTTGTTGTGTTATGATCGCCAAAAAAAATTGTTGGTGTATGTGTTAGGACTATATAAGGAGACTAGCATGACGTTCGATCTCACCTTTCCTTCCCCAATTTCAATGGCAACAATATATGTTGCACTCAAGATAATGACACCAGGCCCTGCAAGGATTGAAAAGAGACATAATTTAAAGCTCAATGAGGTTGCATCTCAGTTGAATGCATAGGCCTATGGTCGCACCATGCTTATGTGCGTCTTATATATGACACGTATATAAAAGAAAGAGGAGTTTCCACAAGCAGAATAGAGAGAGAGAGTTGAAAAGGCAGCTTCCGTCTTAAATTATTATAGGTTAATAAATATTTTTTACTACAACAAGAGAAACAAAAAAAAAACGAAAATTTCATTACGGATGAAATAACCACCTAAATTAAATAACTAGCTTGCGGGAGTTCAACACAGGTTAAACGATTTTGAGGGTACGTGAGCAAACAGCAAACTGAATAATTGGGTTTTGTAGTGAATGGCAGCGCGCTGCCACTATTCAGTGAATATGGTAGTGATTAATTGTTGTACCCGTGACATGTGGTGAAACATTAAATCATCAATCACCTCTGAAATTCAGTTTATACAAATGAACGGTTTCGTAATTAATGTTATAACTTTATAATAAAATGTTTTATTGAAAGTCCATATAGTTGTTGGTAACTGATCGGAGCGGCCATCATCCACACTGCAATTTTGGGTACGTGCCGTACATAAAATAAAACAGTAATATACCTTTAATTTGGTGTGCACTTCTGTACAACAAATTAAATAATATACCTGCATCAGGTTTCTTTCTTTTCGCTTTACTTTCGTCCGGCTTGTCGCGTTGGTGCTTGGACAATATTTTATCTGCATGCATAATGTAGAGGAGCATCGTCACAATATCATATATAATGGTATTTTCTTGTGCGCAATAAAAACCGGTAGTGTACGTCCCCGGTACCATACTGCTGTATGGGTAACGATCGAATATATATAGATCCGGGCCGGTCTTTTATTTGTAATTATTCACCGGTTTAATAAGGTTGAATTAAAAGAAAAAAAAAGAAAACAGAACATCGAATCATCAGCAAGCTCACTCATGGTTTCGACGAACATTTTTCCGGTATTAACGCCATCCTTGTCCATCCTTGGACCTGTGGAACATGCATGCATACAGCAAAGGGATATCTAAGAACCCGATGGATGAATGAGAAAAAGAGTTGAAATTAATAGCTATGAAGGTCGTTTATAAACTGCTGGACGTAAATGATCCATGTTTGGGGTCTCACCTGGGGCGAGGCTGCTGTTGCCGGTGGACATTGTGAACGCAGCAGCTAGCAGTCTGTAGCTAGCTTGCTGGATCGTCGGATAGGAGTATACTGTGTCACACTGTTTGTGCGGGGGTCATCCAATGTATATATATGCATTTGCATACCAACACCACCCTTCTAGAGTTCTAGTCACGGGTAAGGTCAAGACAAAAACTGCAAGTATTCGTCCAACTTACTACACTAGCTACTTCACGTATTTCCGCTTTTTTTTTGTTCATTAGTACTAGTTCCATTTTTTTTTACCTTGACGACGTCAAACCATGCATGTACGTACAATGCAATTCCAGCAGTACATGCATGTGCAGCCAAAGATTCTAGCTGGACAACTTGCGGGGGCTCTAGTAGCTACCTCTTAGTAAAGTGTTGTTCATGAGTTCATCACGTTTTCCTTGGCTACGACATTTGGCATCGTCCCGTCCTTCCCAATCAATGACTAATACTGCAGAGTAGGCAGCATGGCTTACAATTCGGTTCCAAAAAATAGCAAAACTGAACCCTTTTTTATTATCTGACATGTCACATTAAATAAGGGACCGTTCGCTACTACAACTGTTTTGTAGCTAGTGAAACAAACTCATGAGATACATCGTACTGTGATTGTGACAAAATTAATGTGAAGTCTTTAAGGTGCTGTTTGGTTCAGCCACAAGAGAGCTGAGGCAACGCTAACGGGAATAGCTGCTCCTGGTACCTGTTACGATGCAACGATCACTACCACAGAATGGACTTGTTGTCCCGGACGGTAACGGCCTTTAGTCCTGATTACCGCACCGGGACAACAATCCCGGGACTAAAGGTGACACCTTTAGTCCCGGGTCATCGAGCCAGGGTTAAAGAGGGACCTGTTACCAACCGGGACTAAAGGCCCTCCAGTCGAGCAAACGTGGCCGCACCCTTTAGTCCCGGTTGGTAACCCCAACCGGGACTAAAGGTTCCTTTTTTTTTTGTTTAATTTGTTTTCAGTTCAGTTACACGTATTTGTTTAATATATAATATGTTTTTATGTATGTATTCTACGCTGCTAATATAAATACACGCACGCATATAATTACATCTAATTCTCATCTCGAGTATTATTATATTCGAATAAAGTATGAACCTATATATATTATAGATATATATATATATATATATATATATATATATATATATATATATATATATATATATATATATATATATATATACAACACTTTCATAATCTTGTTCTCGAAAATAACGATATCAATAAACATTTAATTTATATCATTTATTCCTTAGGATCAAAGTAGAACTCGTTGGGATTTAGCACTTTTTCTAGAAAAAATCTGCTATTGACTCTTGAACCGCTTTCAGATGGTCTTTTTGCATGACCCTTCGTTTCAACCATTCAAGATTGCATTTGAAATAAAAGGAAAAGTATTAATATATATATATATATTCCTTTAAAAATAAATAAAAATTGATATATACGTACTCGAGGACATCTTTAGGAGTTCTTCTTATGTGCGAGTGATAAATTCACAAACGTAGTATCCACACAAGTTATTACTACCTGGTGGCTGCCGAAACACCACCTGTATGAGAAGAAGATTATTCTCATCATCTCACACGTAAATTGAAGTACGATATAGTAATTAAACACGTGGGGAAGTGTATATAGTACAACTTACTGGTAGTTCAACTACATTAAGTGGTGCCTTGCAATCCTTGCGATGTTGCCGAATAAACTCTTTCCAAACCCTGTGCGACCAATAATGTACGATCGTTAATAAATTATGGCAAAGTCTATTCAATAATAGTTGTGCGCGAGAGATCGAAATTACCCCTGGATAATGTCTATCATATATTGGTATAGTGCCCGCTCTTTTCTCAACGAGTCAAAGATTACTAACCGACTTGAGTTTAACTCAATGACAATGAGTATCCAATGAAAACTGCATTGGTTTATACACACACGTACATGCATATAAGTTGTATTGATATTACATAAAATGTGTAGACTACATTATTATTAACACTTACTCAAAGTTGTACGGGAAAAGTATTGTTGTCTTGTCGTGCTTTTTCACGAAGAACATCATGATATTCTCCTGTGCTTCAGATACCCACCGCTCCTTGATAATAATACCAGTTTTGAATATGATATAAGGATCAATGAAGCCAACACTGGTGTCTTGTATTCTTTAGAGCTCTGACATCTGGAATCTGTATATAAATATAAGTTACATGTGAGGATAATTATATACACGTACACATGGAAGTGAGTTTATTAAATAAAAGTAAGAATCACTTACAAACAAAAGGAGCTAATGATTGATTTGTCCAGAGCATCCAAGTGGTATAGTTGATGCAATTCTTCGAAACTAATATGTAAGATGTCATCACCACGAAAGTAATGATGGTCTCTAAATCTGACAAAGATCCACTGCTCACCCCTGCCACACGCCTGCATGTACCACTTGTTGAGCAAGTACATTTGCGTACCCAATTCATTCAGAGCCGCAGGGTTATACAGACTTTTGCCATATTTATAAGTCTTCTAGGTATCAACTTCCAGGTTCTGGATTGGAGCTTTGCCCGTCAATTGATCCAAGGTTAAACCAGTATCTTCAAAAAAAGCATTAAGGGCTTGAACCGACACTTCTCCAGAGTTGTCTGGTCGATAGACTTCTATGTTGGAACCATATTCATTAGCAACAACAAGATTTTGCATTGGTTGCTACGTTGTCCCAGCTGTGGGACATCCTTCCACGATGCTCTTTTCCTTTTCTTATCTGCATCATGTGACTTCACGAGGGAGCGGTCATAGTCTGATAGTGGCGAAGGCTTACGAAGTTCAATCATCTTTTTCTTGTGAGCATCGACCTTCTGCCTCAACACATCTCGTGGTATGTAAAAGTACGGCTTCTCCTTAAGCTTCGCTTGACTCTTGTTTTTGATATCTATAAAAAAATCTTTCACTTTTTTGTCTTCTTTAGCTGCTATTTGCTCATCAGTCTTTTCAGGAAGTATTTCTTGAGAAATAACTCTTTTTCTCAGGGTATTCTTTGCCGCCGGGACCTTAGACGTCTTTGTAGTGCGTCGCTGTGGAGGGGGTGGGGGCGGTGTTGGAGACCGGCGTGGAGGCGATGAGGCCGGTGTTGGTGGAGACCGGCGTGGAGGCGTTGGAGATCGTTGTGGAGGCGGTGGGGCCGGTGTAGGAGTTGGAGATCGTTGTGGAGGCGATGGGGCCGGTGTAGGAGTTGGCGATCGCCGTGGGGATGAAGTCGTCTCGCCCCCCGCGACGCTGTGATGAGATGGGGAATGAATGATTAGGCTAGGCTGGGGGGAGACCCTACTACAAAAACAAGTTGTGTGTCAATTATTTTTGAAGCCAATAGAAAATTAATGGGAAATAATATTTCATTCACTTTCATTCGTACCTAGGGTGAGGTAGGAGAAGCGGTGGCGCCCCAGGAATGATGATGAAGCGTTTGCGCCATTGAATAAATGTCTTCTCCGCTTCTCCTAGTGTCTTCTCCCCATCACCGCCTTCAATGTCAAGAGGAACATTGCTGTAACCTTTGAGCACTCTATCGACCGAGATGCTAGCATATCCAGGTTGAATAACTGACCCATGGATTCTTGGTGTCTTCGTTCGGTCTATTGGAGATACAACCCCGACAACCACCATGATTGATGCATTATTACCATCTGGAATGTGTAGCTCACATGTTGTTAGAGGCTCGGTAATGTCATCAACAGGGAAGCGCAACCCAGCGTTGTCTTGAATAACTGACAGCTCCGTAGAAGCACAACTGCTTTTCATCTGACCAACGGGGTTAATGGTGACTCCCGGTGTTGATTGCGATTGCATTTGACTCATTGCTAGCTGCACTTGCCTCTTGATCTCCTCCTGCATTCTTGCCTCAAGAGATTTTTCTCGTTCACGTGATTCAAGCAATGCTTGTCGTGACTCATCAACAAATTGCTCCAATGCACGGATTCATTCTGTCTCCTCATCCTTCTTTCTCTGGCGGCTTCTGTAGGTATCCTTGTCTTCTGGGAATGCGTGTAGCCACAGAACCGCCCCATAGCCTCTTGTTCGATCACCGTGTTCGGGATTCTCTAGGGCATATGTCAATTCATCCTTCTCTCTATTGGGCTTGAAAACACCACTATCAGCTTCTTCGCTAGCACGAGCTAGTCTCGTGTTGCTCTCTCAATTTTTGGGCGAAAATTAGCTTGCCGATTGTGCGGGTCTAGGCTTCCCCATGAGCGAGAACCAATTCTTCGTATGCGTTGAGGCCAGTTCTTCTCTATTGTTTCAGGTATGATTCCCTTGGCGGTAATCTCGCTTCTAGGTTACGCCACTTGGGAATAGCACTCCTATAACCACCTGATCCCATGCGATGATGGTATTGCTTCATCGGGCATTCGGCCGATTCCTCATCACACGTTCCTCACTCTCTTGAGATGTCTTGTATTCTCTGAAGGCATCCCAATGGGACTCAACTTGACAAACGCCTTAGCATTGAAATCCGGCGTAGCATTCTTCAAGATAAACTTTTTATACAATGTCTTCTTCCAACTCGGAACAATGTTGTCATCTTCTTCATTGTCCAATCCTCACTAGCTCCTTCAAAGCATCATACGCTTGTAATGTGAAATCTTGAGTGATATCTCTCCAAGCTAGGTTCTTGTCACGATCGGATACAAAACTAACATTAGGAGCGGATATCTTCTGCTTCCATTCACGAGCACTAACTGGGATCCTATCCCTTACAATGAACCCACATTGATTGACATATGTCTGAGCATGTGGTCCCAATGGTTTGCCGGTGTCGGTGTCGAATTCTGATATTATGAAACGGCCCTCTAATGGCTTTTTTGGCCCTCGGACTTTCCTACTTTTGTCGGTGGTTGATGTAGATCCAGAGACCGGCTACATGAGTAGAAACACAACGATTAACAACAAATATACGTACGCATGCATCTATAAGGGATGATAGATAATCGAATATACCT